GATGAAGAAGAGGAGGTCAAACCGACACCAGCCAAACAAGCTAAAGTTACACCAGCAAAGCAAAACGGTAAAGCTGCTCCAAAGGCTGTTGCCGCTGCTGAAAGCAGCAGTGAAGAGGACTCTGATTCAGATGAAGAAGAAGAGGAGGTCAAACCGACACCAGTTAAGCAAACACCAGCCAAGCAAACACCAGCCAAGCAAACTAAAGCCGCTCCAGTGAAACAAAACGCAAAGGCTGCTGCTAAAGCTGAAGAAAGTAGCGAAGAGGACTCTGACGACGATGATGATAGCGAAGAGGAAGAAGAAAAACCAAAACCAAAACCAACACCAGCTAAACAAGCTAAAGTTGTGCCAGCCAAAAATGGTAAAGCTGCAGCTAAAGTCGAAAGTGAGGACGAGTCCGATAGCGACGAAGACGACGATGACGATGATGAGGAAGAAGAAGCTCCTGTTAAAAAAGGTATTATGGTTTATTTTGTACTTTTTTTATATTTTGTCGATATCTTTCATTACCATCGATTTTAAACTATCTGTTTCGTTAAGCTGACTGTTTCAAGAACCTATTTCCACCTATTTTAAACAATTTTTTCTTGGATTATTGTCTCGATTCGAAGGAATTTCATTTTTTACAATTGTATGAACACAACTTTTTCTCCCGAATTCTTTGTGTGTACAGTTTTACGTAACATATTTCGACTTTTTCAGAAAAACTGTTTTTTTATCGAAATTTGATATTGATATTTTGAGGTTTTAAAACTAGATCTTGTTTAGTTTCTCATGACAAATTTTGTGGTGGTTTCAGTTCTCATTTATGATAAGCCGTTTTGAAAAAATGACTAGTTATTAACGAAAATATGTTAATAATATGTTATTAAGATTTTATCTTAATGACGAGCATTGACCAGTCAATTTTTTTAAAACGCTTCATGGAACCTTCAAACTGAAACCACCACCAAATTCTTCATGAAAAACTGAACAAAATCCAATTGTAAAACCTCAAAATTTCAAAATCGAATTTCGATAAAAAACAGTTTTTCTGAAAAAGTCGAAATATGTTACGTAAAACTGTATTTGTGTGTATCAACAATTTGAATCATTTTGGTCGGGGTATATTTTTAGCACTACATGAAATGTAGAGCTACTAATCTGCTTTTTTTTTCTAGATACTTTTTGAGTGTTGAAACAAATTATGGTGAATTTGAATTTTATGCTCATATTATTTATTTAATTTAAAGCAAAGGCAGTATATTTCAAAAAAGAAATAAAACCAAGATCTTGTGATTCATTTTGAAAATGAATATATTACTTCAAAGTTACTTTGATGAAATGCATTTCATGTAGTGCGCCAAAAAATAGTTTGTTGTGAAGCAACAAAATAGATTAAATAACTAAAACTCTTTTTGTCTCAAGTGCTCACTCTTGTGTTTTCATTTCATGGAGTTTATTTGCATGTAAATTTTTTCCCTCGAAATGTTCAATTTCAAACAAATGCTTAGTTCTGTAAATCAAATCACATCATTATTGTTATATTAGTGTGCTGTATGTATGTTTCGAATGTATGTTCTGGTATTTTAAAGTAAAATTTCCAATTTTCTTCGAATTGCATAGGTACGCCAGCTGCTAAGGCCAAAAAAGAGAGTAGCGACGATGACAGCAGCGATGATGACGAAGAGGAATCACCAGTTCAAGCTGTTGTCAACAAGAAATCAGCACCAGCCGCCAAGAAACCGGCCAAGGAAGAATCGGACGATTCCGATGAGTCAGACAGTGACGATGAGCCAGCCGAAGAGGAGCCAATTCAGAAGAAACCAACCAAGGCAGCTGCAAAGGATGACAACAATCCATTCGGTAAGGGAACCAAACGTAAGGCAAACGATAACAATGACCGTGCACCACAGAATAAATTCAACAAGGGAGGTGATGGCAACCGCCAAACCACTTGTTATAACTGCAACGAAACTGGCCACATGAGCCGTGAATGTCCAACAAAAAAGGGACCAGGCAAATGTTTCAATTGCAATGAAGAAGGTCACATGAGCCGTGAATGCCCAACAAAGAAACAAGGTGGAGGTAACACCACTTGTTATAATTGCAATGAAACGGGCCACATGAGCCGTGAATGTCCATCGAAGAGACAAGGTGGCGGTAACACCACTTGTTATAATTGCAATGAAACGGGCCATATGAGCCGTGAATGCCCACAGAAAAAAGGCCCTGGTAAATGTTTCGCATGCGGAGAAGAAGGTCACATGTCACGGGAATGCCCCACAAAATCATCAGAGGAAAAAGTTTGTTTCGGCTGCCGTCAACCAGGACACATGTCCCGCGATTGCCCAACTGGCCAGAAGAGTAAGGGTTGCCTGAAATGCGGCTCTGAAGAACACACATACAGACAATGCACACAAGAAGGAGACAAATTCGCTTTTGCCGACTGTTTTGTGTGTAAAGAAAAGGTTAGACTCAGACAATTTTCATTGAACTCGTACGAACACATTGTATTTTTAATTTCGGTTGAGCAAAACATATTGAAATGATCAATTCTTTGTACTCAAAGTTGTTGATTCTTGGATTTTTGAAAGAAATTTTCTTTTGCAAATTCAACACATACTAATTAAAATGGTTTTTCGTATTATTCAGGGTCACATTTCAAACCAATGCCCACAGAGACAAGGTGGTTTCCAAGGCGGCAAAGGAGGTGGCTTCAATAAAGGAGGCAATAAGGGTGGATTCAACAAAGGAGGCTTCAACAAAAACGGTGGTGGCAAACCTGGCGGCTTCAATAAATTCAGCAAAGACAGCGCACCTAAAGCGGGTGGCAAAGTGACAAAATTCGATGATTAGACAATATAGAGTGTATATTAGATGATTTTATTGTATGCGAAATTACAATTTACTAATTTAAGTTTATTCACTTTATTCGATTAAGCGAAACTTTCTGAAATATTTTCAACAAATAACAACAAACACATTTTACTATTATTGAATCAAAACCACCGACTAAATATGGTATCGTGGTGGACGCAAGTAAAGAAAATTAAGGCATAAAATAACCGCAAATATAATCATAATAATCAATTTAACCATATTCAATGAAGGAACGAACGTTTTAACAACACAAACCATTGTGTTTTCCCAGTCTGAATGTTTTGCAAACGTTTAAGCTGTGCGAACGCTTTGACTCATATGTTATTTTATCCACAATATTCAATAAATAAATATTGCAACTTATTCAACAGAAACATGCATTTCTCATTCATTTTTAATGTTGTAAACTTATTTCAATCAGCTTTTGAAACTCACCTGCTTCATCCACCTGTATATCATTGACGAAAGAAATGCTACCAAAGAAAAGACTTCCATTTGCATTTCCATCGCAAAAAAAAGTTTATTTTTCACATGTTCAATACAATAGATTACATGAATTGTTACGAATATTTCCAAAGCTGGCAAACAAATACGGTAAAATTCCGATAATAATTAGCTACGAAAATCATTGTCCAAATTTGGAATTTCAATCAACAAAAATACTAATCGAACTAAAACAATGTGTTGGTTTTTGTTTGAATTTGGCTAAAACAGTTTTCCCCGGCAAAAGGAACCCAAAATTGTGAACTAAATCATTTAAACTAAATGAACAAGGCTCAAATGTTTTATTTTTGCACTACAAAAAGAGAAATGACCTTGAGAGTTGAATTGACTCTTTTATCATTCTTATATTCCAAAGAAAAAAAACTAATCAATACTGAACACAAATGTCACTAGCTATTCTTAACACTGAATTTATGCATAATTTATTCCATGCGACACACAAATTGTTCGGTGTTTCAATACTCTCAATAATTTATGTTTCGTTTTATTTTTTGGTGTGTTTGTGTGACATGCATCATAGTCAATTTAATCGCTGTAAAACAATAGCTCAAACGTTTAAAATAATTGTTCTCCTTAAATATTCGATAATGTTCGTTTAGAACACCAATTTATCTGTAAATTTTCCCTTAATTTCTGAAGTTTTTCAATTTTTTTTCCCAGTAGAAAAAAAAACATTTCACTTATCGCATAGTTTGTTACAACTGTTTAACTCTCATTTGAGAAATACTTACACATAAAGAAGAAAAACTTGAATTTTGCTGCCCATTTTGGTGGGCAGTTATGAAACCTATACCTTATCATATTTTACTATCCGACATTTACTCAACACAATTCCAAATGTCCAATGACGACAGTTGTTCATCATCATCATCGAAATCCTCGTCGATTGAATACTTTGAGCACTTGTGAGTACGTGTATTTGCATTGCACTGAATGAATTTTTCGCCACAAATATCGCAAAATGTTGGATTATCATCGATAAAATCCAGCATCACGTCTCGATTATTCTCTTCATCGTCTCCAAATAAATCGTCATCGGCATCGTGACCGAATCCGACATCAATGTAGGATCGTTTGGGTTGTTGTAGTTCGGCCGTTGTATGTGATTTCATGTGAACTTTTAACGAGCCACTGCGATTGAAGCTACGATCACAGACCGGACAATCGAAGGACTCGTTTTCCGTATGCAATACCATGTGAACCGTAAGACTTTTGGATAGGCGAAAACTTTTGCCGCAAACCGAGCACCGGAACGGTTTTTCACGTTTATGAATTCGTTTGTGCACATTAAAATTGCCCAAGTTACTGAATCGCTTATCGCAAACGTCACACTTGAACTTTTCACACGGTTGACACTTGGTGTGACTTTTGCCACACACATTGCACGGCGATTTATTTTCGAGCAACGTCAATTTGATGACATCATCAAAGGTGATCTCATCCGTAACTGCGGCCATTTCTGCATCTAAACTCGTCACTGGCGGCAGAGTCGGTGGTTCGATGGTTGTGACCGGAATGGTTGGTGCTGAGATTTGGGTCACTTGAATCGATTGTGGCGTATCATTGACCACAATACGATTGTGAACCAATGCATGGGCAGTACGTTCTTGCTCCGAATTGAAGTGTTCATCGCAAATGTAGCACTTGATTTGTGGCATCAGTTGAACAATTTGGGGCTCTTCAGGCTTAACCATAACGATGACTTCTTTGAGATTGACCGCCTTCTTCTCCTCCTTCTGCTGCGACGTGTGCACCGATTCGTGGTCTTTCAATTCACTCGGGGTGACAAACATTTTTTCGCATTGTTGGCATTTGTACACCGGTTGCAATGTGACCGGCATCGACCCAACAGTGGTTGTGACCGTTGTTTGTGGCGAATCATTCGATGTGGTCGATGTAATTGTAACGGTATTCGGCAACGTATCAAAGCTACCGCTCGTCGGATGGGATTTCATGTGCTGACTCAACACCGTTGCACGACTGTAGCTCTTATTGCAAATCTTACACGTGAACGGCTTATCCTGACGATGAACAATCATATGCTCCGTCAAGTGGCGATACACATCAAAGGCCTGCCCACACACCTCACATTTAAATATTTGATTACCTGTATGAACCTGTTGAAAACGGAGAACGGAATAAATTATTTTTCTTTTCATAAAAGTCTCCCAAATAAAGGAGAAGCAATGAATCGATTAGGTTGCAAAAAAATTACCTTTTCATGAGCATTTAATGTGGATTGTCGTGAGAATTTCTTTCCACACACGTTGCATTGAAACGGCTTTTCCCCACTATGAGTGCGAATGTGCCGGCGACAATTGTACACATTCGTGAAGGTCTTCTGGCAAAAGAAGCAAACATTTGTATTGCAATTGGCCGCTATAAGATTGAAATCATTCGTCGATTCAACGGCCATATTCGGCACATTCACTGTTGTTGTTTTGACGCTGTTCGAAGTGCCGCTCGCGATAATTGTTGTCTGATTTGCTACGGTCACCTTCGAATTCAATGTATAATTCAGTTGGGCCACTGCTTCAACCATCTGAAAGAAAAAACGGAAAAAACGTAAATTCTCAATTATTCAACAGTTTTTGTGAAGTTGTGACATACACGCGTGTATCTGCAGTAATTGTGGTTCGTTTTGGTTTGTTACTCTTTTTTTTAAATGAATTTTGTGGGAAAATTGAACATATGGCTGGATACAGCTGAACTCTATGGAAAAATTGTAATAAAATAAATAGGGATGTATTGTTCCATTGTGTGACACGTTTTTATTGTCTTTCTTTCCGTCAATTCAAAAGAAAAATTGAGTCGAGCTTATGCTCCCTCGATGTATATTTTTCTTGAAATGTCATCAGTTAATAATCTTTGACCAAGGATTGAATTACTTTGATTACACATATGATGGTTGGCGTCTTCAATGTAACTTTTTACATTCGAATTGTTGATCGTAATAATTTATGCATAAATTTCTATATATGGTGACTTAAAGGCTACCATTAAATATTCTCAGCTCCATCATTAATGGCCCACAAATTTTCGGTTATTATGTGGTCGCTTATTTTTCTTCGAAATAATTGTATTCTATTTTTGAGCAGCAGCAATAGCACGGAAAAATCAATAAATTTTTAAATGAAATCTAAAATTCCGTGATTTGTGTCTCCGTTGAATGCGAAGAATTGAAGAGGAAACGAAATGTTTCGTTGTATGCTAGAAAATGATGTAAGCATGTTCATGTATTGATGCGAATTGAGATGCGATGCGATGCGATGTAACGATGAACCGAAGTGAGTGAAGGAAGTTGAAACAGGAAAATGTGGAAAGGAAATTCATCAAACAAATGCCAATGTACTCGTTTGTCAGCACACATATATTGCACATCCATTCCAAGGAGCATATATATTTATTTGATAGAAAAAAAAACATGTATATGTATGAACTGACGACGCTTTGCTGTGATACTAATGGCTATTCGTCGGAGAAAAAATTGCCTCGAGTTAAATCTCCATTGACGTCGACAAGTTTCTCTGTGATTTGATTCTTTGTATTTCCGTTTTTTGTTTCTGCCAGTTATGCTTGTAGTTTGGGAGACTTTTGGTCTGGAAAAAGCATTTTCTAAACTATAGCTCATGCGAGTTTCTAAATATGTACATGGAACAATGGAAAATTTGTCAATTTTGAGAAAGAAACAAGTTTTCAATGAAAATGTCATGTTTCAATTATTAAAACTTCCGTTATTCTCATGCTGAAGGATATCAAAAAAGTATGAAAATAAAATTGCCTCGATTTCACTATACAAAAAACAACAACAACCAAAGCTAATCACAACACCGCGGGCTCCACATCGCTTGCCGAAATACGACAAAAAATCGATAAGCTAGTCATTAGAATGGAGGTATCGATTTTTTGGTACGCTGTGAATGACAACATTCAACCTTGTTCGCTTGCATTTAATTTTGCTGTTCCAGTTCCCTTTACATGTGCATTAACTATTCATGGCAGGCTGGCATATTTACTTACATTGAATCACTTTTAATCGCTGTGGTCCCAGTGTTTGTTGTGTACATACAAAGTGTGATTTTTCCGGAAACAAAAGTAAAATTTGCTTGATCGCGAATGTTGTAAATCTTTTTTTGGTGGTCACTTAAGATGCTTTCGTATAAATTCTCTAGAGACACATCTAAATTCGAAACGCAGCCATTACAATCAACAAAACAATTCGATCCCACAAAAATTCTGATTTCCAACCACAATTCGATGGAGCACTATCATTTCACTTTTCAATGAATCGAAAATGAAAATTCAAAAGTGAAAAACCAAAGTAACAACAACCAAATCACTTTTTCACAAATCAAACTAATGCCAAATGTTTAACAATCCGCGACGCGATGACCACGGCACAGACGAAATGTTCGAAAGAATACTGAACTGGAACCAAGCGAATGGAAACAATTCCATCGAATGCCGTTTGATATGTCGCCGTTTTTTGTCTATTATCGAGTTTTTCCCTTATGGTTGTGGTGCGCATATGCGCGTACCGTTGATAAAGACACGAACAATGTAAATTAAACACTCCCCCACTCGCTTGATTGCACACACCATCACAAATGCGATCAAAAACTGGACAATTCCTATTGATAATAATGCTTCGTAGACTGAGAAATGCCTGTTATTATTTCAATTCTTGAATATTATTGTTTGAATTTAATAGAAAAAAAAACGAACACACAACAATGGGTTCAGGAGCAATGCGAAAGAATTTCAAAACAAAAACCAATCTTATAACGTTAAGCAAAGACACAAACCATATTCAAGTGTTCTGATTGGGACCGGCATTCGAATTCAATGCAAAACAATGGATTTTGCTCGGTGGTTCTGAGTCAAGAGACAGATACCAGTATAAAGTTGTAGTTGAAAAGTGAGAGCGAAAGTTGTTCATCAACTAAAAAGTTATCATGAAATTAATGCCAAATATTTTCATCCTCAATCATTTACCGAAATCAAAATTTTCCCCTTAAAATCGCATTTTCCCATTTGAAACGTTGCTTTTTTTTTTTTCTTTTGTTGCTTAGCGTTTCAGTTCAGTGCATCAAAATGAAGCCGATACACACAAACATTCGAAATATTGACAAGTCGCTCTTGGTTTTCTTGGTGTGCTTCGGTATATTTGTCAACAATTTCAGGCTGCTGTCAGTGTGCTACATACACGTAGTGCATATTACTGACAGTGCGAGTGTGTGTGCGAAAGTATTTTAGCTGCGACTTTCTTTTCACTCATTCGTCGACCATCATTACAGTGTTTGTCATCGTAATAACATTTAGCCGCTACCGATTAGAATATTTTTCTTTCTTAATTTGTTCATTTTCGTTTGAGAAATTCTTGTCATATTTGTCTGTAAGTTAATTGGTTTGGGTGCATGCGAATAAAACCAAAATTCTCTCGTTTTGCATTGGCATAAAATCATTTTGGTTGATTTTCTTTTGATTTCAGTAGACATTTAATCATAACCTAAATAGTACTAACCGATTTCGAAAGTGTTCCACATAAACGAGCGATAAAAAAAATGGCAAGTGTACGATTTTTTCGGGCAGCAACTCTACTTACAAAAACGCAAACATGTTTTCTGAAAATCAATCCAACAGGTAAGAATGAACTCGAATAAAAATACACTTCAATTTGGATGGAATTAGGTTCAATTTTCGCATGATAATCATCACTTGAATTCAAGTCCAGAGTACAGTCTAGTCAGACACACTCACACATTTGCATCACAAATATTACAACATAATGTATCGCACGAACGACCAAATGAGAGAGAATAGCGTATATATGTTTTAAAACGAAGAGAAAAAATGTTCGACTTTGATGCAAACCTGTGTGATTGGACTTTGAACTTCATATTTTTATTTGTGCTTGTGATTTTTCTCATGTTTTCCCAATCAATATGACGTAAGAGCGAATTTTCTTTCGCACCGTCAAAATAAAATATTTTCGACTGAGAACGGGGAACGAAAGAAACAAAGAAAGAGAGATGAAAAAATTGTAATTTCAAGTATCATGTTAAAATTGATATTGCACACCGTTACAATGTACTAGAAGTGTGTGCGTGTGCAAATCAGTAATTCAAATTCCGTGCTCTTGACTTTTCAGTTGCTGTCGGTGTAAACAAGCGTTACTTAGCATCTGATGCGGCGTCGGGTCAATACATCAAAACGAAAAATGTTGACGGTGTGCTCGTTGCCACTTTGGATGCCCCAAATGCGAAGGTTAATTCCTTGGGAGCCGAGATGCAGGCGGAATTTGTCAAGATTTTGCAAGAAATCGAAACGAATCCAAGCGTCACCGCTGCGGTTATCACTTCAGCGAAGCCAGGCTGCTTCGTTGCCGGTGCTGACATTTCAATGCTGGAGAAATGTAAAACAGCCGCCGACGCAACGAAAATCTCACACGACGGACAAATTTTGTTTGAACGGCTTGAAAAAAGTTCAAAACCCGTTGTAGCAGCGATAAATGGCGTTTGCTTGGGTGGCGGTTTGGAATTAGCCTTGGCATGTCAATATCGTATTGCAACGAAAGACAAGAAAACTTCCCTTGGATTGCCAGAAGTTATGCTTGGTTTGTTGCCAGGAGCTGGAGGTACTCAACGTTTACCAAAACTCACATCGGTTCCGACTGCTTTGGATTTGGCTTTGACAGGGAAATCATTGAAAGCCGACAAAGCAAAGAAATTGGGACTCGTCGACTTGTTGGTCGCTCCTCTTGGCCCAGGAATTAAATCAGCCGAAGAAAACACCATTGAGTATTTGGAACAAACCGCCATTCAAGCAGCTAAGGATTTGGCCAGTGGCAAATTGAAGGTAGGTCACGAGTCGCTTTTCAAGTAAGAGTAAACGGTTTGTCATCTTTTATCAATTGAACATTTCAAAAATTTATTTGTCTTTTTATTCAGGTGGACCGTTCGAAGAAGGGACTCGTTGCCAAACTCACCGAAACCGCAATCGGTATTGAATTCATTCGCAATTATATTTTCAAAAAAGCCACAGATCAAGTTATGAAATTGTCCGGCGGTTTGTATCCAGCACCATTGAAAGTGAGTCAGAAATTGTTCAATTTTTCTTTAGAAATAAAAAGTTTTACGAGCGTAAAACGGACTTTTCCGCACGTTTTATATGCTTACAGGTCAATAAAATACATTTGAATGAAAAAAATGAGATAAAAGATAATGGCCAGCATATTATAACACCATCATATTTAATGACAGCTGACCGCAAAAAAGAGCCAAAGTAATCATGTAAAATGACCCATAAAGTATATTTTTAAATGAAAAAAAGTTGAAAATAAAAATTAAAAAGAAGACCATCATGGTTGACCAATCATTTAACACGGCTAACGATAAGAAAATGATATAAAAAACCAGAAAATGCATTTTGAAATGAAAAAAGTTGAAAAAAAAGTTGAAAAAAAAATTCAAAAAAAAATTCAAAAAAAAATTCAAAAAAAGTCAATCATGGTCGGCCATCGTGTTATAAATCATTTAACACGGATTAACATGATAAAATCGTGTTAAAACAAATCAAAAATCCGTTCTATGATAACAAATAAAAAAAAAAATTCAAAAAAATCCAAGGGTGAAATTCTATGTCATCCGAAAATTACCAGATGAACTAGTCCAATTTGGCCCAACTTTTGATACATCCAAGGTATTTACTAATAGTGACTCCTGGCCAAATTTGAGCGAAATCGTTTAAGCGGTTCGAAAGTTATCGTGGACACAACCAAAAATCGTAGTTTTTGGGCCATCATGGTCGGCCATCGTGTTATAAACCATTTGACACTGCCTATTAATATTATAAAACTATGTGAGAACGATACAACAATCCACTCTAGGTTGATGAAAAAAGACATTTTTTTTCGACATAATCCAAGGGGGGACCCTTGGGTGGTTTTCTATGATGTCCCAAAAGTACCAGATGAACTGGTCCAATTTGGCCCAACTTTTGATACATCCAAGATATTTACTAATTGTGACTCCTGGCCAAATTTGAGCGAAATCGAAAGTTATCGTGGACACAACAAAAATTAGCACACTTTTTATCACGTCGATCGCTATACTTTTCTCACACACTTCGTGTGCGGAAAAGTAAAAATAGCAATTCCAAATGTTTCACATCAAAATCAAAGTGAAAATTTTGTTCAAAAAAAAAAATTTATTCTCGTAGATCCTCGATGTAATTCGTACTGGCGTTGAAAAGGGTCCAAAAGCTGGTTATGAAGCTGAACGTAACGGTTTCGGTGAACTGTCGGCCACGCCACAATCAAAGGGTTTAATTGGATTATTCCGTGGTCAAACTGAGTGCAAAAAGAATCGTTTTGGCAATCCACCAAATCCAGCCAAGACAATTGGCGTTCTCGGAGCTGGTCTTATGGGTGCAGGTAAGAACAAAAACCAATAAATTCCTTTCAACACGGCCTAAAACACGTTTTTCGTCTTCCAATTGGCAGGTATTGTTCAAGTGAGCATTGACAAGGGATACAATGTTGTTTTGAAGGATACAAACAATGCTGGTTTGAGTCGTGGTATTGGACAAATTCAAAAAGGATTTGAAACAGCCGTCAAGCGACGCCGTATAACCGCCATTCAGCGCGATCAGTTCTTGTCTAATCTCGAAACTACACTAAATTACGATTCATTCAAGAATGCTGATATGGTGATTGAAGCTGTCTTCGAGAACATTGACATCAAACACAAAGTAATTAAGGAAATTGAATCGGTTGTACCGAAGCATTGTGTCGTTGCAACAAACACGAGTGCTATTCCAATTACCAAGATCGCCGCCGGTAGCTCACGACCCGAACAGGTTATTGGCATGCACTATTTCTCACCAGTCGATAAAATGCAATTGCTCGAAATCATCACACATCCAAAGACCTCAAAAGAAACCATCCAATCAGCTGTTCAAGTTGGTTTGAAACAAGGCAAAGTTGTCATCACAGTTGGCGATGGCCCAGGTTTCTACACAACACGTATTTTGTCGACCATGTTGTCAGAAGCCATTCGTGTGCTGCAAGAGGGTGTCGTTGATCCGAAAGAATTGGATCGTTTGAGTAAAAAATTCGGTTTCCCAGTGGGTTTGGCCACATTGGCCGATGAAGTCGGTATTGATGTCGGATCCCATATTTCCGTTGACTTGTCCAAAGCATTCGGTGAACGATTTGCCGGTGGTAACATCGGTGTGATGGAAGATTTCGTCAAGGCTGGTTACATGGGACGTAAATCGGGCAAAGGTCTATTCATCTATGAAGGCAAATCGAAGAACCGTGAACTCAATCAAGGTGCTTTGGAAATTCTGAAGCAGAAGTACCAACTCACTCCAAAAGGCGCTGACTCAATCGAAGACATTCAGTTGCGATTGGTTTCAAGGTAACTTACGATTTTTGTCAAGATTTTGATTCATTTTAGTTTTGTATATTTTCAAATGATTTTAACGGCTTCTATTCAAATCGAATCGAATCGAATCGAATTGAATCGTGAATCGAAATAATTTGCTTGATTTTTTCCAAATTGTTTTTATTCATGCACATCAAATGAATGATTGACTCTTAAATTCCAATTCATTTAATTCCCTTTTCGCTTTTAGATTCGTCAACGAAGCAGTTTTGTGTTTGGAAGAGAAGATTTTGCACAGCCCATTGGAAGGTGATGTTGGTGCAGTGTTTGGCTTGGGTTTCCCACCATTCACCGGTGGTCCATTCCGTTGGGTTGATCAGTATTCGGCCAGCAAACTAGTCGACAAAATGCGTGCATACGCCGACTTGTACGGAGCACCTTTCCAACCATCTCAAACACTGTTGGATATGGCCAAAGATTCATCCAAGAAGTTCTACAAGCAGAACTAAATTCGTTGAACTTCTTTTCTATTGTTTGTTCCTCTTTTTTATGAAAAAAAAGCATGCTACTTCATTTATCGGTTCCCCCCCCCCCCTCGAAAGACATATTATTGCTTGGTTGTAAACGATCCTTTGCATTTTAATCTGTTACATGAATTTGTTCACAAAATCCAGATGAGAGAAAACAATACAAAACTAAAAAGCTAAAAATAAAAAATGGTAAACTTAAGGCACATTATATGCACTGTTTAATAAAATATTGAAAATAAATTTAGTTTGATATGAAAATAAACAAGCGTTCAGAGGATTTGCTAACAGGGCGATTTCAGGTTCAAGGAAACTTTGATTGGAGGTCAAATTTTTTTGCAGAAGACACTATCACATCATCGTGACTCGGTAGATAAGGGTCATGAAATAACAAATCGATTGCATTGTACATGGAAACTAACGCTTTATTTTTTCATTTATATTTGGCTGAGATAAGGATTATTACAATTTTAGCTGTAGATAAGGTTTGATTACATCAAGCAATAACATGGGATTAAAAGCATTGAATTGGAACTGAAACAGGTGTGTATAATAATCATGAGTATTTTCCACCTGATGGTACAAACAGTTTTTTTTTGTTTCAAACATAAAATAACAATCAAAGTACATCAAAATCGTATATTTGGTTGAGCATATTGTACTTTGTGCGAATCTACTAGAATATTCACAATAAAATCACATCGAAAAAGGTTAATTGAATTACATTTCCAAACTACAAGAGTAAATATATGTGGGGGGGAATATTTAGGACCATCATTTCTCCACCAATCACAACTACGCTACTTCAAATACAATCTACTTCACGATCCAAAAAGAAACCAAAGAACATACAACTCTATGTCCTCTAAATCAAATCGTTTATTTTATTGTCCATCTCGATTGGTATCGTTGTGTGTCTGTTTGGCCGAACAGTTTAATTGAAGTTGGAAGCAAATGGCAACGCATGTTATTTTTCCTTTTCTACTTGACGGCCTTCTCTAAATATGCTTGAAGTTTTGGCCAAATTTCGTCAGTTGTGCGTCCTTCAAACTCATTTAAAATGCCCAATGCACGATAAAAATCGGCCATTGGCTTAATACACTCCTCGTATACTTCCAATCGCTTCCTCACCGTCTCTGGTTTATCATCTTCACGTTGTACTAACTCTTCTCCGGTGATATCATCACGGCCCGGAACTTTTGGCTTGTTAAAGTGTAAATTGTACACACGACCGCTTGGCACATGCACCCATCTGTCTTTCACTCGTTCGATAATCACATCGTGTGGCACGTGCAAATTGATAACCGATTCAACGGGTTGAAAATTCCACAAGTACTCCGCCTGTGCAATCGTTCTCGGAAATCCATCCAACAACCAGGAATCATTACCAATCGCACTAACGCGATTCAGTATGCACTTAATTATCAGGTCATCTGGCACTAATTGACCACTCTGCATGTATTTATTGGCTTCAATTCCCAACGGCGTCTTCATTTTCACATTCTGACGTAACAGATCGCCAGTAGCTGCATATTTAAAATTGAAGCGTTTAATAATACGATCAGAAATTGTACCTTTTCCTGAACCAGGCGCTCCCATTATAATCGCTCGGAATAATTTCAATTTTCTCATTTTGACAACCGTTGAATGATAACTAAACTATCGCAAATGAAAGACAGATAAACCACTTCAATGAAGATGTGTAGACGGAATACGAAAACGTACAATGTGTCGGCGAAGTGCGTTCTCTCAACGAGTCACAAGCAATTCGTGCTACACTTTATCGGTTTTTTGAAGGGCAAACACTGAAAAAAACACAAAATTTATTGTCAAAATGGCCATTTTTTTTGGATCATCATCATTTTAATTGATACACAGAGAAATCACTGTCATCACACAAAAATCAATTTATTTTTAGAATTGAACAGAAAAACACTTACCAAATTCAAAATCGTTTGTATGTGTTTTTTTCACTGTGCTTCTTTGGGTGCGAGAGTTTCAGTTCTATCAATGTATTTACATAAATTCAGAGCTATTCAATGGAATTTTTTTCCATACAGCAAAGACATTTTGACCTAACGAATACACTCCGTGTTATTATCTCTGATAAAAGTGAAGAAAGAAACAACACACAGCAAAAAGGGAGACACACATGCGAACTGACTATGGCAATATGACGTCTTTGTCGTCGGTCGGTCGGTCATGCCATTCCATGAACATTCCAATTTCTTTACATGCTGATAACATACATTTCCAATGTGTTGAGATTCCCACGCAGTTGTCACATGTTGTGACCAAATCAGTAGCATATACAAATGACATGTCTCAACTGATACGTTTTTGTCTCCGGACAAAAATATGAATTTTTCCTGAAAACTTAGCATTTTTCTTGGAATCGAAAGGCTTTTTAATGGAATTTGAATTTTTCTAAATGAAAAACGATTATTTTCCCAGAAAAACACCCAAAAATTGATATAACATTTGAAAATAACACTGATGCGCGCTTGAAGTCACAGTTAATGCAGTAAGTGTCAAATGAACTGTCACATTGACAGTGCTGTCACTTTCCACTGACGGCAAGAACCGAGAGATGTGTGCGCTTTTAGTGTGATATTGAGTACAGCGTCAGTCAAACACTCGTCGTGTAATCAATACATGGTTTTTGTGCAGTTGACAGCTCCGTCAAATAGAAGTAAATGATCAATTTACGTGTTTAATTTGTTGTAGCGCATTTCGGAGATTGAATTGTACTTCAGAATACAACAAACGTTGGACAAACCAATTTTCTTTCATATTTCAGGTAAATCAAATAAAAATTCACCATATATTTTATACCCAGACCGTCTCGTATTGTGATGAATCGTACTGTCGTCATGTGTTTTGTATCTTATTCATGTAGAACAACATCCATCGGCCATTTTTAATTTTTTTTTTTTCAGGCGCACTTATTTTTCTCGTATCATAAGTTTGTGTTTCATTCTATTTACGGGGAAACCAGTTCGTGTCTTTTTTCTCGGTGATAGTTAAATTTTGAACGTTGATATCGATAATATTATCTGTAAAACGACGACGGTACGATTATATATTCGTGCCGAATTGGGTGTGTTGTTCAAACTAAAAACGACATAGAAAGCGATTTGGATGTGTGTGAACGCCGACAATTGAAAAAAAAAATCTCACACCCGATCCGATTATGGTCCGCATTTTTTTCTATACTGATAAATCATGTATAGACATGACTAACAGTAATCGGACATACAATAGTCGCATGTCTCACTCTCAGTTCCAACCACCACCAACACCAACACATCGACAATCATTTTGTGAATTTATTTAACATCGGCGCAAACAAAATGTTTTTCGTCGTGGAATAGTGTATAAAATGATGAATGCACGATTTTTAAGTAATGATTACGATAAACCATTTGTGTAAATAATAATATTTGGTTATGTGTCGAAATTCCATTGGTCTAATACTGTGTGGTTGCGCTGTTGTCAGCACAATCCAAAGCTAAAAGACATTCAAAATTCATAAAACGTGTTGTTCATCATTGCGCTGTGTGTTCGCTGTGTGTTCGATTTGTTGACAAAAACCCATCAATTTTGCTTACTTTTCTTACTTGATAGCAACAAGAATTCATTTGCAATGTAAATGACACTGAATATACTGCCCCTCAAAAACCAAAAAAAAGAGAAAATAAACAGCACACAAACGCTTCGTTCGATAAATGATCTCATCGATGGAGAGAAACAATCAAAGTATGTGTCTGCTCAATTCTGAATGGGTAACCAAATCGATCGAATATCATGGCCAACCATTGCAGAAGGTATGGGAAGGCGAGCATGGCATACAAAGTTTACAAAATATTGGAGTGCGTAATCCCGATTTTACAATGTATCAAACGCGACAGAAGCAATTTGTCTTCCAAGACCGTGCCAAACGTTTAAAAATCCATTCGTTTATTGCAAAAAAAGCAAATGAATTGTTCGCAACCGATCCGGCCAAAGAATGTGCACGCACAAGTGATACAAACATTGCCATCGCCGATGGTGCCACCGCGGCGGCCACAGGTGAGATAACGAGATCATGCACAACAATTTACCATTGTATCAATTTCGAAAACTAGACCCCACACACACACACACACACACACACAACAAAAATTAATGCTGATCCAATCTGATTTTAGGATTGTATGCCGATATGCCACCATTAAATGTGTTTCTGCATGAAAAAGCGAATCGTTCCAATTTGGTGAAGAAAATTTACTCGGTTTGTAGATTGATGCACTACATCGTCTTGACTCACACACGTTAATCGTCTCAACACACATGTTGGCTTTTTGTTCTTTTTGCAGCATCTCAATGTTGGCGATGTAATTTATGGGAAAATTCATAGTTTGCAACCCGGAGGCTGTTTAATTCGCTTGCTATGCACAAATCCGCCAAACTTCCACATTTTCAATGATGTTAAAGCCCGGGTAACAAATTGCAATCTGAATTCCAATCTATGATATTTTTTTTGGTCCATAAAATATAATTCGTCTATATATATGTGTATTTTTTTAGGCATTTTTGCCACATTCACTGCAAGTACCGGCCGTTGATAGCAAGGGCATTTCTCGAAATTACTTGTCAAACGATTTGGTGTGTTGTGAAATAATTGAGGTGAATGAATTGAGCGAGAAATTGGTAGTTGGCATGAAAGGTCAATATTTCGATCGATCAAAAACCAACAATGAAATGGCTGATATCAAATTCGGTTTAACCCAATCGAATCAATTGCCGGAAAAATACAAGTAAGTGCCTTACCTCCCTCCCAGAATTCCGCTTCCAAATCGAGCAGTGATTATTATCAATTTTACTATTCGCTTGATAATCACGCTTTGGTGTTTTTCTTAGCCAATGTCGCATTGGTCGTATATGTATTTATTATGTAGCACAAATGTACAAGCCAATGAGCAAGAGATTGAGAGACAGCTAATAAAAACAAATTTAATGAAAAACAACGCATAAGTTTCGTTTGAACATGACACGAGTAGAAACGAAACTCCAAAAAAAAAAACAAAACAAAACAAAACAATTTAACTGTCAATTGAAACGCTTGTGATAATTTTCCCATGGGAACATTTGAATCGAAAATAAATGAAAACCGTTTTTACATTTGAACGAAAGTCTATGATTTATTTATCTTTAATTTCTAAGTGTCTATTTTCATACCCTATTCACATTCATTTATCGTTCGTATTTTATGCATTGACACCGTTTATTTATTTTCCATCAGTTGGATTACAACTGATTAAACAGTGTCGATATTTTCCATACGTGACGGTTGCTGTGGACAACAAGTACCTAACAGTCGTCTCTTCAATTCCTTTCGTTACAGGTTCGCATCGGAAGTGGTGGGTCGATCATATGAGTCGGTATTAGAAGAATCATCCGGTTTCGATAATCCACGGTCTATCGAACATTTATGTGCATTGGTTGGCTTAGACTCGAATACATTTTATACGAATATGAGTGGTTTACGTGGGAAGTATCCAAACGAGGATTATTCTTCAGAATTGAGGCAATCACAAGCAAGTTCGTGGGCATTTAGGTAGGTCAACAAATATGTTTATTTGAATGGAATGCAATTATTTGCCGTGCAAATTTAATGTGAGCAAAACATGTATGACTGTCGTTTTTCGTAGGTCGGTTGCCGATGGTATTGAGCATTTCAAAGAGGGTCGTCATGCGGAAGCATTTCAATGTTTGAATAAAGCGCTCACCATTGATCCGTGCAATGTTGAAGGATTAGTTGCACGGGGCGCACTCTATGCAAACAATGGTTCATTGAAAAAAGCGGTTGAAGATTTTCAATGTGCATTAAAGATCAATCCAACGCATTCGAATGCCAGAAAGTATATGGGCGAAACATTGGTCGCCCTTGGTCGTAATTATGAAGAAGAAAATTGCCCAGACGAAGCGAAAAAGGCATATCAAGATTGTTTGGCCATTATACCAACTCACGAGGAAGCGAAGAAATCATTGAATTTCTTGTGGAGTAAAGGTAGTGGTTCGTCGAAGCAAATTATCGATATGAATGACTTGGCGTTGCCAGGTAAATTTTTCTGTTTTTCATTTATACATTTTCCGTTCGTTTTCGATTTGATCGGTTGCCATGGTGACGTGAACACATATCAACTACTTTTTTTCTTGTCCAAGTTTCACATCTATAGTTCATACGCATTTGTTTCTTTATCACACTAATCAATTGTTGTTGTTGTTCTTCTTCTGCCATGGACATTTTAGCATTGAATATCAGATCGTCGGATCAGAATCGTGGTGATGTCTCGTCGGCAATTAGTGGTAGCACAAATGCGGATAATCGCAAAGAAAGTAGTAGCTCAAAGAAAAGCAAGAAGAAAAAGACAAAAAGTCGCAAACGACACTCGTCCAGCTCATCGAGTAGTGACAGCAGTGAATCAAGTGATTCGAGCAGTGCTGAATCGTCAAGTAGTAGCGAATCGTCATCATCGTCAGGTAAATTACAGAAACAAAAATCAATATCAATAGAATACTCGTGCGCTGTCCACAATCGATACACAATCATCATCAATAGCAATATCATTCTCATCCTCATTGATTTGGACAATTTTACATCCATATGCTGGATTTGTTCAACTTTCATTCCATCCAATACTTGAAACATATTTTATTTTTATTTTTTAGGTTTGTTCATATTGTTCATAAAAGTCTCGCTAAAAACAAATTTACTAAACAGAAATCGAAAAACAAAACTATTTCGTCAAATTGATTATTTTATTGTCTTCAATCGCACACGCGATATTTTTCCACCCACACACACACACACATACAGTATGGAGTCTGATAAAATCGTATAAACTATCAACTATGAAATACAATTTTCGATTTCGGATTCTATTCGAATGGCGATTCGTTCAACAGACTAAATGATAGAAAATGCCATTTCAGAGCGCTTGCATCATGTACGCACACCGAAAATACGGTTTTCCTTTATACTTTTTTTTAAATAATTCAATTTGACATTTATTTGTTGTTGCATTTCAATTATAATCGTTATTTAAAACATGAAATTCATCCAAATTACAGCATATCGATTGAAATGCCATGGCTTATAGAGTAAAAAATCAAACAGTCGACGCACCCCAAAAAAGTCTGATTTTATTCGAAAAGAAAATGTCTATTGTTTTATTTGCTATGACATTTGCGATGACATCTAATTATGACTTGAATAATAAAGCGAAAGAGAGAAAGAGATGATATCGATTTATACCGGTTTGGGATGATGAAAAAATTGCTCGACACACATGCGATACATGGAATCGAAGCGACCCATAATCGAGACAGAGAAAGAGAAAGAAAAAAAAACATTCATGTCCTTTTTTAGGTTAGCTGCCCCAACAATTTTTAGACACAAAGTGTATCTACGTATCACAATTAGAGTCGGAGAGCCTTTTAGTCGAACTATAAATAGATACCTAATGGATGAAATTGATGAGCTCTATGTATATAATTGAAGCGATGACGAACACCGATAACTCAAAAATAAAAGTACAATTTCCTCTGTACACATCACCAAAATGACCGATGTACAAATAACACAAAAACACATAGTCATTCGATAATTCAGTGCAGCAAATGGCATCAAACAATAAGCGACACTATTTATTGATTCGTTGTACATTGTTCCTAAACCGTTTTTTTGTATTTATTTGAGCCGATCGAGTTCGTACAAGATACAGATGGGATTTAATTTTCCAACATATTTTATTTTAGATTCGGATCGATCGAAGTCACGAAAAAAGAAGAAACGTTCGTCGGAAAAGACGCGTCAACGTTCGATGTCGCCGTTGAGCCGTCGCATGGCTATGTTCAGTGGTGGCGGTGCTGATGGTAATTTGGAATCTGGTCTCGGCGGAAGCAATGCACCATACAATTATCCGCCGCAAATGTTCTCGGGCGCATCTAGCTCAGAGACGGCACCGGTTCAGCCGAACGATTACGATTCGAGAGTTAGCCGATTCTTGGATATGACGCGCGATGAAGACAATTACGAAGAAAAGGTGCGTAAATTCGTAGAGGAAGCATCGAAATACAAGAAAGAACGCAAAAATCAGGAATCGAAGAAGAAAGATCGCAAGAAATCCAAGAAGAATAAGAAGGACAGCAAGAAAAAGAAGAAAGAAAAGAAATCGAAGAGTAGCAAGAAGGAAAAGGAGAAGGACAAGGAAGATGTTATCGATGGCAACGAACTCCGTGAAGCATTGAAGTATGGCACATCTTTTTATCTGCAGGAAATCCTATTGGCACCTGCTTAATTTCGAACACCATTTTCTATTTCAGGCTCATCACCAAATTGCCCATATTTGATATGAACGCAAAGAAATTGACGGACATCGAAATGGTTGAGAAAAGCTTGAATCAGCTCAAAGAAGAGTATGTTTTTAAATTTTATTTTGTGCTTTTTTTTGTTCTGCACCATTTAAAAGAAAATAGATTTGCACTTAGTAGTTGATTAATCACAAACCCAAAAAACCATAGTCCACATTATTTCAGGGAAAAGAAATTATCGAGCGTCGAAAGCAAGCCCGAAGAAAGTGAGAGTAAATGGAAAATGCAAATGTTCCCCAAAGAAAGGTAAGGACAAGCGACATTTCATTAGAACTAAATTGAATGGTGGTTTTAATGGTTTTTCTGCTTTTGATTTAGCAAAAAAGAAGCGCCGGGTTCCAAGTATGCGTTCCCTAATGAAGATGACGACCAAGATGAACCGTTGAATATTCAAAAGCAAACGCCCTATGGTGCTCCGCCAGTTTCGTATCCATCGAAATATGAAACCAACAAACAATTACAAATACCACAACATCCACCAGCTGGCCCATCGGTTCTAGATAAATTCGGTAAGACACTCGACTGGTTTCTCTTTATTAATAAGCATTTTCCAATCGATTTTCTCATTGGACTGACATTTTATTCGGATTTCATAGGTAATTTCCGTCGAGCCGAACAAGCTGATGTATCTGAAAAGCCACCCGAACCACCATCGTACCGATCACGCTCGCACAGCCGTACGCGTAGCAGTCGCTCATGTAAGATAGTCAAAATTTCAATACGCTAAAACATGAATTAACTTGTTATTGTTTATTTACAGACTCACGTTCGCGAAGCCGCTCGCGTAGCTACAGTCGTCGACATCGTTCACGAAGCTATTCACCACGTCGTCGCAGTTATTCGCGCTCGAGAAGCCGCTCAAGCAGCCGCAACCGACGACGCATCGGTGGCTATCAGCATAATAATCGACCTCGTTACTTCAATAACAACCGAGGTGGGTGAAACGTCAAAACAGTTTCAATTTGTCACGTTTTATTTCATTTTTTACTGTTTTTTTCTTAAATTTTGCCAAAATTGCAATCGTTCTTTTAACGCAATAATTTTACAAAATTCTTCGTTCTTCATTCGCAGGAAATCGCTTCAATCGAGGCTTCCAAAATCGTGATTTCCGTAACAATCGAAACCGCTGGAACAACAACAACAATAATCGCAACAATTGGAACAATCGAGGCAACCGTAACAATCGTTGGCGTTCCAGATCTCGTAGTTACTCACGCTCACGAAGCCCATACGATCGTCGTCATGACAGCAATCCACCACCAAAGCCACCATCTCCACCACCACAGGAAAATTTACAAACCAATGATGCTGTCCCAGCACCAAACTAAAAACATACACTACGAATACGAACAGATTCGATTCTCGAATTGAATGCATCGACTTTACAAGTTACTCTAAACCGTTTATCCAATTAACTCTATCCATACTGAAACTTTGAAGAAAGAAAATAACAACATTTTATTTTTTTATTCTGGATGAGCATTTTCGTGAATATCTGATCCGTTTCAATCCATATTTGATTTTGGTGATTTTTAGCTTCAGCATTTTGCGATTTAGAAATAGTCTGAATTAGGATTTCGTTTGGAGCGAAAACAAAAAAAAACAATATTTTTTTATAAAATCATTGTTGCACAAAAAACCAGCTTCACATCGTGGCAATCTAACTTGAATACAAAAAAAAGTATAGCATCATACCGCTATATTCTATCAAAGATTTTAAAAAACCAATCAATAAAATATGTGAGACAAACAAATTGTTGTGGTTTTGTTTTATTATGGCAAGGGAGAGAGTGCAACGTTCACAGTATAGACAGGATTATACAAATTGGTCAAGGTGTAGGGAAAACGAGCGGCACAAAGTATTGAAAAATGACCGTTATTCATGCAGCACATCAAACGGAATTGTAAAGTTGCTTATCAAAGAGTTATTTTTCTCTCTACAATTCAATTGCTCTAGCTGAACTTACAAGTTGTTTGCCGCGCGTGCTGTGTCACATAGATGTGTTTCATCGTATGCACAACGCTAACGTAGATATGTCTATAACACATCACAGTTGCGTATATGTGTATGCGCACGTATTGGTAACGCGCTCGTATGTGAGTTCTTTTACGTTTTCGGTGAGTCGGTGTTGAGTTATACGTCACGTAGTATCTCTTTAAATGTCACACGTCAAACTCACTTGAGTAAGCAATTTTTTCGTGGAAAATCGCATTTTCAACTATTCTGTGTGAAAATTCGCCATAAAGATCAAGAAAAAAACCGTTTCGAAAGGGAAAAAGAGGAGATTAATTGAAATAATCAGTGTTATTGTTGGAGTAGAGATTGGATTTTTTCTACATTCGCCTGGATGTGTGTGCCAATGAACAAAATGCGCGACGATCAGGATTTCAATATACATTTTGTGAAAATAATTGAACGTGAACGCAGTTTGTACGACAAATCGTTGCCAGAATATCGCTCCAAAGAGGAACACGAACGCATTTGGCAGAAAATCTCAACGGAAGTCAACGAAAGCGGTAATTTTTCCATTATTTACTAATGAGTTTACATCAATTTAGTTACTTTAATTCCAAGAACCAAAGTGTCATTTTCAATGTCCAACACACAATATTAAGCACATGAGTCTATTTTCCTGTGCAAACCCAGTGAAAACGTTAAATTTTTCAAAACAAAACCACTTTGTTCGTTCTGGTCGGGCAAGAAGCATGTAATGCGTTGATTGTCGGTTCTCAACAATAATGTGATTGTGTAGTTTTTGTATTTTGTGTCGAAACATTTCAATTTTGTTGCCATTGTTACATTACATTCGATGCCCGAATCGCATGTTGTATCGTAGCCAAAACAAAGTACATGATTGACGAGGGAAAAAAATATTCCGCGTATGAGAAGACATGTTCTTTTGCCATTTCTTGACGTAACATGTGTTTGAATTGGATGAAAGAAAAATAAACAAACGGTTTTTTAAGATAATATTTTCTATTTTCGATTCTTTAGTTGCCCATTGCAAGGAGCGATGGAGAAATTTGCGTGCTTGTTTGACTCGGCATTTGAAGCAACAACAATCGTCAACGGAGGATGGTTCAGTGAATCATAAGCCATATTATCTGGCTGAACACATGAGTTTTCTGCTGCCATACACGAAAAGTCGATCGGTGAAGGAGCAAATCAAGTACGAGACTCCGGCAATAGAGGAGCACAAACCGAGCACATCGACGAAAATATCAAAAGTCAACACCGGAGGTGGAACAACAACAACCACATACACGATTTCAACGGCTGAGTCCGATGAGAATCAGTATGTAACATTGATTCAAAGCTCAACTGGTGAACTAACACCAGCCGATGGATTGGATGAAACACATCTACAAGTCGAAACTACCACTGAAACTGAATCGAAAATCATCCCCGAACAATCGTATACCACTGCCAGTGCCGTTGTAACACCGAAAGAGATTATTTACGAGCCCGTTCCATCCAAACGTATCAAGTTATCGCATCAAGAGTCCGATGAAGCCGATTTGGATTTCTTCCGTAGCCTTTTGCCCGACACACGTCTTATGACTGCCTCACAGAAACGTCGATTCAAAATGGGCATATTCGGTCTAATCGATAATGTTCTCACTAACAATGATATTAACTCTTGAGCTTCGTAGGACACCCATAAATATTTTATTGTAAATTTATATTATCTAAAATAAATCGCAAACTTTCAAAAAACTGAGTCGATCAAAGGTAACAATCTGTTTTTATCTTTTTCATTCAATAAAACTAGAGATTAGTTAGCCGCAGCTGAAATTCGGTCAAAAACATTTTTCTTCTGTCTCGCTCTATCACTCTTTACTATCTCTCGTTGTGTTTAAAAACAACAACTTGACACAAGCTAATTTAAAATTCATTATTATGTTGTATTTGTTCTCCGTCCATATGTCATACAATGCTGGAGTGCGTACGTATAGGCAAGCGTCCACTCTACAATAGAGCACAATTTGTAATCATTATTTAAACATAAAGAATCAATTGAACTCACTCAAGTGGGACATGTCGATTTGACAAGTCGATATATTCAGTTCTTGCATCGCACGGTCTCTAAACGGTGGCCATCGTTTCGCTTTTTAAAGACAATTTACATTGAAACTAGTTTGGCAAACAGTTTTATTTTTCCATTATTCGAAGCTGTTTGAACTGGAATTGTTTCAAATTGTGCACAGTTTTGCTTTAGTTCGCAATTTTCTTACTTCAATTTGTAAGAGAATTTTTGATGAACAATAAATTCGCTAGATTGGATTAAATCGAATTGAACGTTATTGGATTGTTGCTAATTGAATTGAAAGTCTATTGTCTGAATTGAGATTTTTATTGATTTTGTGCAAATAAAATCCGGCAGAAGATGAAAGTAGAGCCTCTACGAACTGGGAATAGTGGAAAGCAAAACTCCTTGGAAGAAGATATAGCGATTCAGCAAAATAATTGGCTTCAAAATGAAATTATCAACACAACATCGCTACGATCCTCGCAATCGATAAGATCTGGGCACTTGGGCTCAGCTCTGATTCGCACTCAACCGACAGCTGTGCAAACACCACCGATCATAATCCAAAAACAACCAACGGTACCACCTCCTGAACTCACACCGCCAATAAATTGTCCACCCGGTTTGGAATACCTAGCCACGGTCGACCAATTATTAGTTCAACAAAAAGTGGAGTTGGTCGAGGCAATAACAGGTTTCGAAACAAATAATAAGTTCAATGTAAAGAATACACTCGGCCAAAAAGTATACTGGGCCGCCGAAAATAATGATTGCTGCACGAGAAATTGTTGCGGCCCGTTACGTCGATTTAAAATGCAAGTGTTTGATGCCTACCAAAATGAGGTAATGCACTTACGACGGCCAGCTGCGTGTGATAGTTGCTTTTTCCCATGCTGTCTACAATCGATCGAAGTGTCTGCGCCGCCCGGCCGATATATCGGTTCTGTGCAACAGAAATGGTCAGTGTGTCATCCATATTTTTCAATCAAAGACTTGCACGGTGACACAATTTTACGCATTGAAGGTCCACTATGTACATGGTCGATATGTGGGAATGATGTCGAGTTTAAAATTTTAAATATGAATGGTGTCGAAATCGGAAAAATTTCAAAACAATGGTCAGGTTTAGCACGTGAACTGTTTACGGACGCCGACTTCTTTGGAATTTCATTTCCAATCGATTTAGATGTAAATATTAAAGCTATTATGTTAGGCGCATGTTTTCTAATCGATGCAATGTTCTTTGAGAAATCGGACCATCGCGAAAATGATAGACCAGGAATGTTTTAATTTAATTAAGTTCAATATGAGCTGATATTTGAAATGAGGAAAAAAATTATTCTTTTTCAAATAAAAATAGAAACATAGGCATTGAAACGCCATCTTTGAACAGTATTCGAAAAGGTAAATGTCATTGAAAAAAAGACACAACATAACCATTAACCAAGCAACAACCTGTGAGTTTGGAGTTTGCACAAAAAAGTGTTTATTTGACAGAACATTAATAATCATCGGCAGCAAAATGATCAATAAAAAGTATCCGCTGATAATATTTGGCATTATCGGTGCTTATCATATTGGAACACACTTCATGAATGCCGACCTAGAAAAAAACCGTGAGATACAAAGAGCCAAAGCCGAAGCTGAACGACTAGAACGAATCAAACAAATTTAATGGATCGAAACAAAAACCAAACACATCGTATTGAATGTGACCTGAATCGTTATTTAATTGTTAGAAATTTGAATAAAAAGTACAAACAATTGTGAATTTTATTTAACGAAAATGTTATGAGTGTGGTTTTATTTCCTTTCTGGCATTTTTCCCCAAATTTAGGTTTTTCGATAGATTATTATAAAAGCAAATACAATGCATGAACTTTGAATTAGTTGAAAAGTAGACACATGGAATACAAAGCTAGTTGGGCCAATTTATTCTGGGGCGAGAATTCAGTAATGTTGACTTATTGTATAAAAAAAATAGACGCCGAATTCTCGCCCCAACTATTCAAACGGCTGTTGATGATGGAGGTTGAATAGAAGGCGATTGCATGCTTGATGTGAAGTGCTTATGTTTCCATGGCTACTTGAACTCGTGGGTCCCCCGGACCTTCATCATCTCGTGGTTCATCAAAGTCATCAATCGAAGCCGGTTCGTTGTCACCAACAACACCAGCTCCACCATCATCGTTGTCGGGTGGTGGACCAGAACGCTTTTCAACTGCAGCCACATAACGGGCAGTTTCTTCATCGTTCAAAATGTGGAACTTTTCGTTCTTGCCAACGACGGCAATTGAAATATTCTGTCGGGAAAAGAGAGGAAAAACAGATTAGTTTTTTTTTCATTGAATTTTTTTTTTAGTAGAAAAACCTTTTGTCTAACTTTGGTTCACAGCAAAAGAGAAAAAAAAACAATTCAAAAAAAGTTTGCTGTTCTCATAGTCACTTACCGAATTAGTTAGAAGATCTTCATTGGGCAGTGTTCCTTTGAGTGCTTCCAAACCGTGCTTGATCAACTCATCTTTGGTTGAATCGGCAAATGTGTTCAAATGTTTCTCCAAATACGTACGTGCGCTTTGCGACCGTGAGCCAATTGACATAGCTTTGCAGCTGAAATAATTGGCGCTTGGGACGACTTCGAAAATTTGCGGTCCTTGGTCATCGTAACCGGCAACCAACAAACCAACGCCATACGGACGTCTATCGTATCGTTGCGTACATGTTTGCATGCGATTGCCCAAATTGGAGATCAACCGATTCACCGGGTAAAAGGTATCAAATGAATACTTGTAATTCAAACATTCTTGACGCATGTAACGGCTCAACACACGAGCATCGGCTGTAATACCGGCAATTGAAATGCCCAAATGATCATCGATGGGAATAATTTTCTTTTGAAACGATGCCAATTCGGATGAGGCACGTTTCAATGCAACCAAAACTGCATAGTCACGGCTTTTCAAACCAACCGTTGCCGAACCCAATTTTACCGCTTCCATCGCATATTCGACCTGATGAAGCCGACCTTGCGGACTCCACACGGTAACATCACTGTCATACTGATTGCGAAACTGAAAAATAAAGAATTTTACAACCAGATTAGAAACCAAAATGCATCGATTCAGTTTGTGCAAACAAAATAGCTTTGAGGTTATGAGGTGGATATGAACAAGCGATTTTTAAATTTTATGAAATTTTGACATTTTCACGAATTCTGCACATGAAAATTCCAATTCAAAAGTCACTTTCAGGAAAAATCGCGAATAAATTTCCAAAAAATACCACATTTTACCATTGTATCAATAAAATTCCAGCCGGAGCAATGACAATACAAAAAATCACTGTGTCTTGAACTGTAATAAAAGTTGCTTTGTGTGCTCCGTGCGAAGTTGTTTGCGAGTGTTGTACAACGGTTGACAGCATCAAGTATGCAACCAGAAGCCAAATGAATGTTCGCGATGGGATTAATCATACACAATATTTTTTGTTTGACATTATTTACAAATCCGTCGTTCTCAGCGATACGGGCACTTGTCAAGCGAGAAACAAACAGTGCACATACAAGATATAGATAGAAAAGAAGAAATCGAAAAAAAACCATATTATTTTGCTAAATTTTACTGTTGAAAATAGTCTATTGTGTGAACTAGATATAGAAAATGTCAGCACAGGCTCAAGGATGGCAAAGGGTAAGAGAGCAGAAGAGAAACTTTTTTCTCTATTTATTGCAAACGCAATTGCTTTATCTGGGTGACTGCATGACGTAGTCACGCTTATTAACTTAGCCGAAGTAAATACAACCACTTATTGTACGGCTGTACAAGATTGATTGTAACAGAGATATCATATGTAATGTGCGAAATATCTACGTCGTGGGAAGCCAATAAATTATTTTGAAAACGTGAATCATTTCAATCGACAACCCAATTCCATTGGTTAACATTCATTTTCATATTACGTATTGTGGTGTGCTTTCGATTGTGTTACACAATTGAATGTCGGGAATTGTTAGCTTCTTTGTTTATCGTGTAAATGACGAAATAGCGATATGGTTGCGGTTTTAATTGGATCATTACTAAGGAAATGACTTTATTGATTTTAACAGGCAATGATTGGCCCATTACCAGCTGGTTTCCTACGATTGACAACAGAACGTGAAATTCAAGAGTCGGCCGATCGGCAAGCAGCGATTGCATTGTACCAACAACAAAATGTCTCCTACATGGTAATTAATTTGACAATTAAATCAATAGATTTTGAATGAGTTTCATTGACTTCCAATTCTAGCCGGCTTCGAATATCGTCGGTCGCCTCAGCATCACCGTTGCACAAGCGAAATTAGTGCGGAATTATGGGCTAACACGGATGGACCCATATGCACGCGTTCGTGTCGGTCATTTCGTCTATGAAACACAGACGGATCCAAATGGTGGAAAAACACCACGCTGGAATCGAGTCATTCATAGCCAGTTGCCAAGTGGTGTGAACACGATTTTTGTGGAAATCTACGATGAGTGCAGCTTTAAAATGGATGAATTGATTGCGTGGACCGAAGTCAAAATCCCCGAATCAGTTTTGCGCGGCGAAACACACGAGGAGTGGTACAGCTTGAGTGGCAAACAGGGTGACCATGTTGAAGGAATGATTGATGTTGTGATGAGCTTTACGGTAAGGCAAAATGCAATTTAATGTTTTATCAGCATAATTTATTGAAGCTTCTTCTTCCTTTTCAAGTTTCATTTTCGACCATTTTCTCGATATTTCCGAGTAAATCCATTTTCTGCTCTTTTCTCAAGTTCTCAATGATAATGAAAATCAACTTGTTTTCCTTTCTCTTTAAAGCCTGCTTCTGCAATGGCCAGCTACAACTGCGCAGCAGTGCCGCCCGTTGTAATGGTACCGAATGTGTCCGGTGGCCAACCGTTACCGGTTTTCGTAACACCTCAGCCGCAAATTCGTCAGCCAGCTGTTGAACAGCCCGTACCTGTGCAACCAATCACCGATGATGATGTGAAACAAGTCAAAGAAATGTTCCCGAATGTGGATGATGAAGTCATTAGGTCGGTGCTTGAGGTAAATCGTGGTAATAAACAGAGCACAATTAATTCCCTACTTCAAATGACTGAGCAGTAAATATTGCGCTGTATGTTAAAAAGAAACCAACCGACCAACAAACGAACGAACCCCATTCGTAGCACCGCCTTTTTACATCCAACGCAAAACTTCGAAAATAATTCCGTTACTTTTTTTCTATCCTCTGATGAATGAATATTTTTTTAAAAAACAACTACCTTTTCGGTGTCTTTGTGCCCATTTCTGATCGATCTTCTACAGTCTCATGCACGTAATTGAATCATTATCATTATTCCAAAATTGTATGTTTGATCCGAAGTTTGCCAAAATTCAAATGAAGCCTCTGGAAGTGGATTGAAAGAGCACAAGATCTTTTGATCTTCTCTTTCAGTCGTTAGTTAGTGATTTTTATTATAATAAGTGGAAATTGTATTAATTTATTCGCTTCTGTTTTATTTTTTTCCAATTTTGTTTAATTTTTTTTTGATTGGTCTCTCGGGCGATATCGATATAAATATTTATTTTGTTTATTTATCAATACGACTCGAATTATAGCAGCAGATGATTTGACAGCCTAAGAACAAAATAACAACTTCTGAACTCTTTGCCGATAAATGAAACGAAAAAAAACTTAGAGCAAAAAAGAAACAAATGAAGTTGCGAGCAAAAAGGACACAAGTGGGCATTGAGCGAAAAACACGTTTTTCTCATTTTTCTCGCTACTGGAAAAAGA